AATCAAGCAATTGGCACTTGACACTTCATGTTCGCCATATTCCGGGACACACAAGGAGATGCGCAGCTAAGCACCTCCCTAAAATGGCCCGACGGGCACCAAAGCGGGACCCATTCCGGGCGCTGTACCCTCAAATGCTCGTCAGTCTCGATGCTGACATCTGTGGGGTTCATGTTGGCAAGGCAGCGAAGACTACAATTATGTAGCTGCGGGGATGAGCACCCAATTAAAAGCTTAATTTTACATGGTACCTGAATCCCTGAACATTTTATATGATAATATAAGTACCCATAAAAATCTAGGTTACAAAACGCTATATCATAAACGCTATAATCTTCGCTATTTTTAATGTCACTTGACGTCACCAGCTGCTACCCGGGGCCCTGTGGATACTGAATTGACATATTAATAAGTGAATCGCCCCGCAAACGGCTCAAAATAAGTTGGCGGTATAGGATCAGTCAGCCTTGAGGTCCCTCCAGGCTCCTTGGACCATTCATAACCGGCAACCTCGTCTCCTCGGTAAATGACCACACCAAGATACCCTGCGACGTGACGTGTATCTGAAAGTCTTCGTCGCCCAATATCCAGCAATGCTCCGACACTGGCACGCACTTATCCAATTCCTTCAGAAACAAGACGACATCATCCGCCGCCACCTTATCAGGGTCTGGTCGTCGATCTGCAGAGTCCAAATGCACCAACCGAGGGATGGAAGCGTGCTCCTGTGACCATGTCGTCAGCAGCTCCTCCTGATCGCATGGGCCAAATAGCGACGGCTCATAGTGTAACTGCAACCGGTTGATGATGCCATTTCCACCGCTTTCCACAAACTTGCGCTGTATGAATGACTCCTTGTAGACGTTGAATGCTGTAGTCGCGAGTTCTACGATTTGTACAGGGTCAATTCCCAAATCGCTGGCCGTAAGTACTGTGCCGAGATTGTATAGCCCATTGGGGCCCATTTTCGAACATGGCAGTGTGACCTGGAAGGGAAATTGTATGGAGTCGTGGTCGTCGTAAGTGTTGCTTAGCGAGTCTTCCTGGACGAGTTCCTGCCATCTTTTGGTTGGTTGACCACCTTCGTAGCGAACCACAGACATCAAAAAGCGGCGTTTCTGAGATTGTCCAATTCCGCCGGAATCTAGGTGGCAGTGTTGGCGTCAAAGTGCAGAAAGACAAAGTTTGGGGGAAGGCGGGCCGACTTACCCAGTTTTGACCCAAACATAGACGCCACATATAACGTGTCTAGTTTCTCGGGGTGCAATATCACACCAGGGCGTGACCTCGGGCCTTCATAGTCCTCGGGCGGCCGATTCATCTCCCCAGATACGTCGATCTCGGTAGCCCCGCCCTTCCAGGACCAAGCTACC